GAGAAAGCCAGAAAACATAAATCTGCTGGCTATGATGCATCAGAATATCATAGCGCATTCCTTGAAGTTTTTTCTGACAACCTACTCCCAAATCAATCTGGTCCCAAACACATGATCCCTACTTTTAAAGCTAATTTGCTTTATTTGGTAAATAAACCAGCATAATTCCACTGTACTATTTGGAATTGTCAGTAATATTTTATGACGATTTAGGCAGATTGCATCAAGATTGTGTCAATAACGCTCTGAACTTAGAATCTGACTCATGTGCAAGGTCTACAGAAACTTAGAAGAGGCCTCTAATTACTGGCTAAAGTTACTGAGCATATAGGATAGCATCTGCCCAAATTATATTATTTGAAACAAATGGAATTTGCTTATGCAAGTATGTGACTTCAGCTCAAAATATCCTGGTTGCTCTAGAATTGGAACTTCTTGGAGACCTGTTGTTACCAGAAAGATTTTAGTCTAAAAATTATCCCTGCACTGGGATAATTATCTTGCTCTGTTGAAAATAATAAAAGTGACACATTCATAACATTTCTTTAAACAAAACTGAGTCTAGAGAAGTATTTTGTTAGAACTGGTAAGTCCAGTCTGAGAAAGGTATCTGCCATTGCTAAATGCTAGCAGATAACCTCAATAGTCTTCCAGAATAGATTCAGCAAGTTTCCATCTGATGTACAGAAAGTTATACATTTTTAAATTTTGTGCAGGCCGATGGCTAAACAGTAAAAAGTATATTATTTGAAGTCGGATGACATAAACATCTGTTCCCTAAAGGTTCACTTGCTATTTTATATACTTTCCATAATAATTTGAATTTCATGTAGTAAGCATTTCATGAAAGATTACTGGAGTTCCCAAAATCTACAATGAAGTAAAGTACACTAGAATGCTTTCTGAATATAACCTACAGATTTTAAAGATTTCCCTAAAGCCCATTAAAGAATTAACTTTAAATTTATGCATTGTCTTCCTTAAATGCAACAATAAAGCACTGTTTTAAATGCTGTAAATGTGGTCTTTAATTAGCTGTAACAAGATCAGCATTCACGCTAATGAAAATGGTATCTAACATGACTATCAACACTTTGGGATGTGCAAATAAATGCCCACAGAATAGATGTATTTCAATTTCTTGAGAACAAAGAATATTTCACCGTAACATTGTCACTGCAAAAAGGTGCTAATTCAATGCAGATATAAGCCAGAGATGCTTATTTTAATGCAGATATTTATTCCCAGTGTGAAAAGAATCATTTTTAAAACTTGAGCATTCCACTTTTTGCTCCTGCAAAAGTAGAAGTTATGCCTTTAGTTAGCTGAGAACTTAAGCAAGATAAAGTTTTAGAAATCATCATTTACCCATTTTATACAACATATTATAGATCAATCATATGCATGCTTCACCAGTTTTCATACAAAGGCTGTCTTTAAACCTTCAGTTTTTAGACAGTTGGAAATAAAGGTTGACTTTATTATAATACTCATACCCTAAAATATTAATTTTAAAAAAGAATGGAAGGGATTTTTATAGAAAAAAATTACAAATAGAATTGTATTTACTTTTTGTATATTTAATATGCTTTATCTTGATATTTTTTGAAGTGAATCTTCTTTAAGATATGTGTTTCTCTAAACTGTGAGAACACTTCTAGCTAACTGAATACAATTTGGCTATTTGTCCTTAAATTTCAGACAGGAAAACAGACACAAAAAACCAAAACATTGCTAATTATAATTAATTTTGGTGCCAGGCCTTCTCGGGTTTGTCCAGTGAGCACTGGGTTTGTGTAATTTTTCACAGCAAAACTTCTCATCTTTAACTAGATGTACTTGCAATGGAAGTGTTCTGCATTGCTTTTGTAAGTCAGAGCTGATATAGAATGAATGTTTATGCTAAATCATGATCATAAGAATTTCTTATACTTGAGAAAGGTGACATTTGAAAGGATGGAGATGAGCACTTCTGTGTGGCTTATCATTAATCAAATTGGACAATAACTTTTTATGTTCAAGATATGAGTCTCACTTAAGGGAGCCTTAAAGAACATGTCAGATTTCCATTTATAGTGACTAATGCAATTTCAGCCTTCTAGAAGTATAAGGTAGAACAGGGAACTTTAAGATAATATTTGCATTGTTGATATGGGTATCTTTGTTCATAGTTTTATTATTGAGGAACATGTGAGATGTACACTGCAAAAATTACAAATATATGGTATGAATTTCAAAACTTCTAAATGAAGTTTCTTTGAGAGGATCATTAACAAAATTGCCAAATCTAGCTCTCTTGGCCTGCATGAGGACAGACAAATAATAGGAGTGATGGAAAAAGTGATATATTTAATAGCCATGGGTATTCAAGGTGCTGACCTCCATAGGAAGTTGAAAAAAAAATCCTGGAAGAAAGCAATGACAAAGTACGAAGTATTTATTTATTTACTTAAATTTCAAGGCTGCCAAACTCCACAATGACTCTGGGAGGCAAACAATTAAAAAATTATTAAAAGAAAACAACATATTTCAAAGATAAGGAATACAACTAACTGGAATAAATATCAAACTATAGTCACTAAGGCTTGAGGTAGTCTTTGAAACAAAATGTTTAGATTTTGTTTAGTTTCCTACATTTCTCTCAGCTACCTTGAGTATTTGTTACAGTACAAACTTGAGCCAACCCCTTTGACATTAGGCAGAACTGTTCATCATTTGCAAATTGACCTATTAAGAGTTCTTTCCCACATTCACCGAAGTTTGGCTACAGAAGGTGAAAATTCAGTACAAACAGATACATCTAGTATGACAACCAGGCCACTATCAGAATAATTGATAGCCAGGAGTTATCAAAGAAGATAATGAAACCGACTAGGTAATTTGTACTTTTATGCTTTTTTGTTAAGATTGTTTTCAGCACATCATATGATATGTAGGTAACAGCTGAACACTCTACAACACTTTCAATAGTATGAAATTCAAAGATCAGAGGAACATTCAGATCCCTTTGTCCCCAGATATTTCAAGAGTTTGTGGAATTTTTCTCATTTAAAAACCAAGCAAATCCTAATGTTTTTTATCAGTGCTCTTAAAATAGAGGATTGGGGTTACAGAAAAAAATTCATATAAAATAATATGATGCTGTTCAAATTTAGTTTCTGATTGCAATCATTTCAGCTAACAATATTGCTGCCAAAGACTTATTTCAGGAATGAAGTCAAATGGACAAGCTATTTTCTTTCCAGAAAAATATAGTAACACTTTTTCTTGAAATATTAATTTTTCAGCCTGTATCAACATTTCAGGAAGTTCATATCCTTGAGGTCTATTTTGAAACTTTTAAGTTCAAGAGTTTTTCCTTAGTTTTTCTACAAAGTTTGACATAATGAAATCTCAGAAACATTTCCTAGGTAAGCACTGCCATCTTGTGGTAATCCATGTGAAAAGCAAC